ATATCCTTCCTCCTTCTTGAATGTGACTCATGGCAACTTGCAGATAGATTTTAAATATAACTTAAACAACAGTAACAAAAACTAATGCATTAATTAGGATTCACATTTATAATAAAGTTTAGGAAGTAATAAAGCCAATGACTGACTCCACGTAGTAGTATATGCTGAAAAATATATATTTTAAAAAGAATTGAAAGGTAAAAATTATTATAACTATTTAGTTGCAGGATAAATCACACAAAAAAGAGTGAATATTATACATATTGTGTAGTTTAAAGAAGAAAACCCATGAATTCATTACCAATTGGTAATTTATTTATTAACTCGGGGTTTTTTGGTTTGCTTTCCTGCCCCCCAAAACATTTTATTGGCTTATACTGTATATGCTCGAGTATAAGCTGAGTTTTTCAGCACATTTTTAATGCAGTTTTTGTGGTAAAATCAGGTGCCTTGGCTGATATTTGGGTCGGCTTAAACTCGAGTACATACAATAATTAATTCCATACAATCCAATGATTTAATTAAATTTAAGAGTCATGCAATTATCACTACAATCAATTTCAGAACATTTTCTTCATTCTGTGGCCATTATTAGCTCCCCTGCTCCAACCCTAAGGAACTATTAATCTCGTTACTATCTCTATGTTACCTTTCCTGGGTTTCTATTCAGAAAACTATACAAGAAACTCCCAACAACTATAACGAAATTTAACACAGAAAACCTCAGCCCAAGAGAAAACAGAAGATGACAGAAATTAGAACAAGCTAGAAAGGTCAAAACAAACTTTAACCTAACTCTTATCTGCAGTGATCCACTTTCAAATGCATTCTGCCTAAGGACAAGATTACTCTCATCCCTAGTCAATGGTCTGAGGGAGTTGGGAGTTTAATCCAGCAGCAGAGGTGGCAAAGGGATTTTGGGTTTTGCACTGTCATCTATGCCTTCTGCAAAGGGGGTGCTTGAATTTAATCTCTAATATAATTTCCTTCTCTGATCTTGGATTTTATTATTTACAGTCCTTGGGTTATTAGGGTTGGTAAGCTTCTTCCACGTGGGCTTAGCTGACACCTCACTTGGTTGGCTGCTCATTTTAAGATATGCCTTTAAACCCCCAGATGGTATTCTTTCTGATGGCCGGGCACCATCTGATTTCTTCACCACATTTTGCTATAGCATCCTTATCTTTAGAGATGACTTCATTAGGGCAAGCATTGAGCAGGGTCACATTGTAAGAACTAACTGTTCTCAGATTAGGGTTTATGGTTAAGTGTAAGCTCAAAATCATTCATATATCAAAGTTTACATCTAGCCCTGGTCCACTTTAGAGGCAGCATCACCAGCTGGTTAAGAAAGACATTTATTTCCATGAAATAGTAAAGACAAGACCCCTGTTTTGTTTAGTAAATCAAATTAACTTTCAACCTTAGGTGGAAAATGACAGTTAGTAGATTGAAGTAAAGCTAGCATTTTTAAAACTTAAAAACAAACCTTCACATATGCTATTTCTATTCAATGTTTAGAGGTCAGAGGTTTACTTTGCATTTAATAGTGTACCAAACCAAAGATGGAAGATCTGAAGTTGAGGTGCCCTTTGTTTAACTTTAACCTAGATCTGTATCTTCTTAAAAGCACCTTGCAGAACAAAATTGAAAATATTTTACTCTTTAAAAAATTAACCTTTGATGTGAATTCATGGATTGTGGCATTACCATTTGAAACATATGTTAAAACTGGTCTTACTACTAACATGAAACATTGGAAAATAAAAGCTTTAAAGAGCTTACTCTTTAAAAATGGTCCATTTTCTCTAATGAAATAACAGGTTTGCAATGGACAAGTTTTGGTAATACTATATCTATTTACCATCCCATCTCAGGATGTTTGTACATTATGTAACGTTTCATTAAGCATTTCAATTTGAGGTAAGATTTATATTTAAATTAAATGCAATTGTGTATCTGGTATACAATTTTGGTCAAAAGGCCTAACATTGTATTGGAGCACTATTAAACAATAATGATAAATATGTGCTTTTAAAATAAAGAAAATTCATTGGAAGAGCTACAGAGTCATTCACAAATTGTTCTGGGACACTGGGTGCTATCCCCCACAATATTAGCAGTCCCTCTAGTCCCACTGTTTTATCCCTCCTTGACTCTCATTTTTGCTTGTAGCAAATGCTGCCTGTTTGGTTTCATATAGCTGACTGATTCAGAGCAGAATTTTCATGATAGCGCTTTGCTTCTCAAAAAATAAAGAGCTATCATGAAAAGTTTACTCTGGTTCATTCTTCACAGTTCCTTCCACTCAAACAGTGACGACATTAATATTAATTCTTTAAAGAATTACTCACCCTATGAAAGCCACCATCTGCTCCACTATATGTTTGCTGAATGTTATTATAACGAAGATTTTCTGTAAGAAATGAAAACTCAAGTTAAAATAGTTACTCTCATATATCTATACATTAAATAATTATATCAATAGTCTATTACACTTTTTTAAAGTACTTAAACATAAAATAAATGGCATTATTTGAGTCAAAAATCCTACCTACTTTGTATTCTGGATCCGTTTTTTCCCAAGCATAGTTCCAGTCTTAGTAGGATACAGACTATGTCTGAGGGAAAATATGAGTCATGAAAACCAAAACTGGGAGGGAATTGTGGACATTCCACATATTCTCTCTATCTGAGAATGGTGTGTACAACTAACGCCATGGGTCATGGGTTCCCATGTAGCTCCCCATCACTAAGATTAAAGCTGACCACCCTAATGCCAGGGGCTAACCTCTAGCTAATCCTGAGGTCTTGAAACGATAGTCATCCTTATGGAAGACCTCTAGAGAAAGCAGCCTGAAAGTTCCACTTCCGGACTCTGAATGAGGCCCGGTTTCTAGATTTAGGACAAAAGCTACCTACTAGATACAAGAAGGGTTTAACTTGATGTTAATGAGTTAAAGAAAACCACAACCAGTGGCTGTAAGGCTGACCTTGACTCATGGCAACCCCATGAGTGCCACAGAAGGGCTGTGCTCCACCGAGTTCCCAAAGTTGGATTTTCTTAACATTTTTAACAGCTTGCACCACAGGAATCATATTAAGGAATCCCCCAGTGAATAATATAAGGCATTGTTAAGGGTTTTGAAGGACTACAAGGATGAGAAAGATACTGGTAACATTTAGAATCGCATGATTAAAAAGACATAAAAAGGAGCTATATTAACTTAAGGATGTATTAAAAATTTTTTCTTATTAAATATGGGTTTTTGGTCTTTGTTCTTGTCAAATTACCAATAAATTATACTTTATTGATTTGTTATTGTCTGTTAATGAATGACGTTAGCCTATATAACCAAAGAGGATAGAGGAAAATAACAAACAGAACTGGACATTATACCAACCCATTGTGGATTTCAGAAAAGTGATTAGGCTAACGAGGCTTTCTACTTCGGTAAAGAATTAGTCTGAGAGAGCCACAGGGTCCATTCTACCCTGGACTATAGGGGTGCTATTAGTCAGAGTTGACTTGATGCCAGTCAGTTGAGGTTTTGAAAGCATTAAGGGAAAAGCCTGATAATGGCATTTTCTTAAGCAATATCCTAAGCTCAACAGCAATGCTGCCAGCTACATAATGGATGTACACCAGGGCAGAAGACTGAAATATAAAAGTTCACTGTACTTTTTACTGCCCTTTAAATATATCTTTTAATTTAAAAAAGATTATTTGGCTATCTCAAGGAAAAAGTAAACTCATGAGGTGTCATGTCAAACAGATATAAAATGGAAAATGGTTTTATAAACTATGATATGCAAGTGGTCCATGAAGATTATGATGTTAACAGGACTATGAACTAAATCCTGATCACTTAAGGAGGAAAGCATTAGCAAGGGGTCCTTCAAATATCATATTAAAAGCCAGTTACTTGGAGCTATAAATCTTTAACTAATAAACAAAGCTAATGGTTTTGGCTCCCCATGATTTCACCACCATGAGTTTTCCCTGTCATCATTGCCTAACATTATAAATAAGTCAATGTCCAGATAATTGCACAATTTCATTGCTCAAAAACAAAACTCGATTTTCCTTTAGATTAACAGCTTGAAAATTCATTGAGCTGGACAAGACCAAATATGACAC